TTAAATACAGTTAGTCCTTGTTAATATATTTTCATCTAATGTAGTTTATTAAACATAGATAATATTAAACTACACAACATATTTTGAAGTAATGTGGTTTCAGTAATGGTACTTAATAGATGCTGCATGAGGTTTTCTTAACCTGCCCTCAAGCTAATTTTTAGCTTGACTTTAAACATTATAGCAAATAATTCATAACTGATAAAGTAATCTTTTTGAATAATTACAGTTAACTGATCTAATTTTTCAATGACGACAACAAAAATAGTTAGTGAGATTAATTCAGCACAACTAATAAGAACGTGAAGCATTTTCAAGTAATAGCAGTTATACAGTATTATGTGATTGCTGTCCTCTGAGTTAAACAAATGACAAGAATTAAAGGAATCTCAAATAAATAGGTGGAATCCAGGAACACATCAAATCATTATTACAGTATACAATATATATATATTTACAATATAAGCTTATAGATTTTTGCTCAACATGCCACTGAAGATGACAAAGTATCCACTGTAGTAACCTTTTTAAAATTGCTGACCCAGACAATAGGTTTGTTCCAACACAAGTCCCTGACTGGGTTGAATTTGAGTACCGCCCCTTCACTTCAAAATTCCGATGCCTGAGGCCAAGACTAATGTCAGATTCATACTGCATTGAATAGACTAGTGACTAGTATAATGTTGTTTGTTTAATTATTGTACGATGTAATGAATAAAATATCTAATTATTCTTAATATAATGTTTTACTATATTGTCCAGAAAATTGTTTTCTCCCAACAAAATATAAATTGTTACTAATCGCCCCTCAACATGGAAAAACGCCCACGTGGGGGCGATATTGCCCCCGTTGAGAAACACTGTATTAGACCATCCACAACACACAGGTTAATCATGCATAAGTTAATAAAAGAGATTTATTTATTAAAATATTTTTAATTTTTGACGTAATTTCCCTTTGGGTACTTCTGGATCTGCAAGTGTAAATAACTGTTTCTTCTAATACTATTTGGATTTAGATTATGAGAATTTATGTATTATAGTGTTCTTTATCTTAATGTGGATTGAGACAATGTTTGCTACTGCAAACTATGTGATTTAAATAATGAATGAGATTCATCCTAAAAAACAAAATTTGAGGTCATTTATATAGTATAGTCCAGGGATGGCAAACCTTTTTGAGTCTGCATGCAACATAGTAAGCATATTAAGCATACTTTTCTTTTAAAATGTTTATACGTGCAGAAGTTTTAGACTTCGAGTAACTATATTTAAATTTGGCCGAATGGCCGAGCGGTCAAAGTGGTAGCTTATCGCTCTTGTGGACCCAAGATTGACCACCTGGCTGTCCCATTGTGGGCTTTCTAAATAAAAAAGCCCTCTTAGTATCCACAGGGCAAAAAGAGTTTTAAAAAACTATATTTAAATAAATAATATGCTGTAATTAGAGTAAATGTAAAGAACCTGATTGAAAAAGATGATAAACCGAAATCATATAATTCGTTACGTGCCAGATGATTTCTTCAACATGCCACTTTGGGCATAGGTTTGCCACTTCTGGTATAGTCCATAGTGAGTTAGTGTGCTGGTGATGATAATAAATCAGGACGTTCTCTTAATAAAATTGAGCTTTGAACTTCAGATTAAAATTTACAAATTAAATTTTGTTTTTGAATAATACTCTTGGATTAATTAAAAATGTATTTGAAGTCTTTTCATGATTTTGAAAAAAAAGGAGACAAAACATTAAATATACCTATATTGAAAATCATACAGAGCTTGCTTAATTATTGAAATTTTTTAATGCTTTATTTTATGCAGGGCTCAATGAGTAAGTTGATGATGCTAACAAGCGGTCAAAAATGTTCAAAAGGAGAAAAAATAAAAATAATAAACTGAATGTAGTGAAGTTCTGTAAATGTAGTTTTAAGTTGTTTATAAATAGTTCATACAAAAGTGCCAGAGCTAGAAGTGTCCTCTATTGGCACTCTAGTGTTAATGATTATTAGATCACATCTGTTATTCTATTATCATCATATTTCAACTTGAACAAAATGCAAAAGTATTCATTCATTGCACAAATTCACAATATCTTTAATTATATACAAAATTAAACAAAAACTTATCAATAACTGATTTTTTTAAGGTGCAAAATTTATATACACGAATGTAAATTTTTCTAATGTGCAAAGTGATTTTAAATTTATCTGTTTATCATGATGTTATAAAATGGTCAATATTGAATTTGTAAGGAGAATTTAACAGTCAATATAAAATTTAAAAATTATAAATTCACTGTGTGTGTGTATATACAGGTATACCTCAAGTTACGTCGTTCTCAATTATACATCGCTTGTCAAAAAATATATGGAAAAATAAAAATCAAGTTTAAGTCATTTTATTTGACTTTACGTCCATCCGCCACAAATATTGAAGTCATAATATCGCAAGAAAAGCATTAAAGCGCATAAAATCATATTAAAATATGTATATTTACAGTAAATGTTAATATAATCATTATATATCCTAGAGAATGAAACATGAAAACATCTGTGTTTCTGTGTTATCGTCTTATTTAGCAGTCTTTAAGTGCTCAATATTGGTGTCTTTAGTGACAAGTAATTCAACTTACGTCGTTTTTCGACTTAAGTCGCCTCTCCTGGAACCAATTACCGACGTAAGGCGAGGTATACCTGTATTATGCTAAATCAAGATTGTTGTTGCTCATTTCATGAAATAGGCAAACATTTGCATAATTCCTGAAATCATAGTTGGTTATCAGTTTCACAAATTAGGAAAATTTTCTGCTTATTTAACAAAATGAGCAACATTCTAAAATGGCATACCATGTATCTCATTAGTTTTGAACTTGTGTATGTAAAAAGTAAATCAATAGATATTTGTCTTAAATGATGAAGTTCATCAAAATTTTGTGATATTGATAAATTTTGTAGTTATTTCCATTTCAATTGTTTTTAGCAGTGATGGCATCAGATGAAATGTTTCAATTTCCTTTCTATTTGTGGTTAAGGCTTCTGTTAGATTTTGATATCTGATCTTTTCCTTCATTTTTTGCTTCCAGGCCTCATATGCAATATATCTTTTTAGAAACTCTCTTTTATATGCTATGCTCAATTCATCTTAGTCATTCTGCTGTTATTTTTTCTGCCAAATTTTTTCTTAATCTCATTTTTTGAATTTTATAATTCTCAGCATTCTCCTCACCAATTCATTTCAGTAATCAATAATTATTTTTTATAAGAAAAAGTTATCAATGACTGATTTTCTTAAGATGCAATTCTAATGCTGATTGGATTCTCTCCAAAATGATAAGTTTTTAATTTTTTGGATTAATTTTGCTACTAAAACAAAGTGTATATTTCTGTCATTTTATTATATTTATTTTTTAAATACAGTACTATTTTGAAATAAATTTAGCATTATTGATTAATTTGGAGGTATTTTTACTTCCCCCCTATCTCTATTATTTAACATTAGTTCTTAAGTTATTTGAGAAAATATTAATACTGTTTATTTTTCTTTATCTTCTGATATATCATACAAACATTATAAAATTTGTAAAAACTTCATATGAAATATTTTCTTTTAGTTTATAATGATAAACTAAATTAAAATTAGAAATAAATTGTTTTTGATATTCTAAATTACTCAAATTATATAAATTAATATGGAAAAGTTGTCATTTAATATGGCTCTTGTATGTAAATAGAGGAAAGAAAAATAACCAGAGTTGAAATTGGAAACTTATAGAAATTTATAATGAACCTCATTTATAAAATAAAGAAATTTCAGTTGCTATTGTAAAATTACCATGATATAGTATGTTCCTGAAAAGAAAAAGAAAAATTGTATATTGTGAATAATCATAATAAAAATGTTACTCCAATTTATTGTTAAAAGAACTGTTAACATTTAAAAAATATTATATGAAATGTAAGCATAATTGAATAACATTCATTATAAAAGTATTGTAGCCTACATGCAATTATCAAGCAAATTTTAATCATCAAAATTTATTTGATATAAATTAATATCTAGTAAATTTTACAGTTTGAAATATTAAAATTATTGTGTTTATAAGGCCAAAAATATTATATTCACTTGTATATTTACTGTACATTAATTAATATTTGAAGATCTGATGCAATAAAATTAGATGAATAATTTTGTTGTAGATAAAGAAATGAAAGTTTTTTTTAAATAATATAATCAAAAATTTTTAGTTTTTAATAAATAAAATCATTTTTTATGAAGATTGAAATGTAATTAATAGGTAACTTCTTTCTGAAAAATACAGTTTTATTTAAAATCTCATGTATGTGAATATGGAGCAAATAAATAATAAACTGTAGGTAGAAGAGCATGCTTAAAATTATTTTATTATATATATATACAGTATATATTGATGACGAAGGATAAGATTGTATTCAAGGCCAAGTTGATTCTGAATAAAATATTAACTGTTTTTATATTGTTATTTCAATAATTGAAATACTATTTGCATCTGTTTTTCTGTAAAGCAGATTCATTTAACTTGTTCAAGTCATTGCTTGATATAATTAAAATTAAAAATTTTATACTTACGATACATATTTTAAAAAGTTTAATTTCATAAGTACAGAAAATTGATTTAACATTTAAATACTTGTGTTCAGAAATACATTTGTTGAAATTTGTATTATAAACAAGCAATATTTTCGTGTGTGTGTATATATATATATATAAACATATTTAACATTCAAAAATATATATATTTTTTTTTTTGCCGAAATTAGTCTAGAATATTTAATATTTCCAATTGAACTATAATATAACTGATCATAGTATTATATTACAAAGAAATCTATGTTAATTTAATAGGTTATGATCCAGAACCACCCACTGTAATACAATTTATATAAGTTTATAAGTTATAAACCAATTAATGATGATGGCACTTTATTGCATATCAATTTATAATAATAATAATTGTTTTGCAGGACTCCCAGATTTAGAGTGACAAGTGGAGAGAGATGTTTCCTGTCTATAAGTAGTGTGTTGTTGCACTAGAAGGGATCCAGCAGGGGCACTACTGTTAGCCATCAACAGTGGTAGATTTGACATCAAAACTCATAACTCCTACCCAGCTTAGTAATAGAAAATTTAATGGATCATTATCTTAAAGCAGAAGCTGTTTCTTGAATGTTGCTGTTTTTCTCAGCATTTTTATTTATATATAAAGTGTGCTTTTGTTTATATATTATATATATATAAAAAAAATTCCATTGAACATTATATAAAAACCATCATTTACCTGCATCTTGATAAAAAAAAAAAGTGAAAAATGTGAATATTGTGTATTATAGATTTGCCCCTGCTCGGTCACAATCTTTATGGTTATATTTGAGTTCTGTGAAAAACAAGCACTTAAATGTGGTTATGAAATTTTTGGAATAAAATTTGCCACTTTTGCTATTAAAAATCTGTGTCAATTATTCTTAACACCTAAGACCATACAGCGATTACGTGATAGTTGACGAGAGTTAATAAAGATTACTCAAAATTCGAAGTAATTAATTTATGAACCGGTATAGAGACGTAAAAAAATCTATTGTCCGCGTAACGGTTAAGTTAACTGAAGACCGGTAAACTAATTGATCGGAAAAACATTAAAGTGACTACCCCTCGTGACGTCACTATCCGACTCTCAACATTTCCTAATATGGTCATGTTGCTCGCTACCCCACACGCATGTCGGGAAATCGCGGCTGACGATTCTAATCATGAATGTATCGAAAGTTTAATGTATTAAATAAAATTTCCGTTACGCGTAACTTAGAAAAAAAAACACATGTTTATCCGAACAAAAAAACACTTATTATTTTCACTTAGAATACAAAAAGAAAAACATAAATACACGTCATACAAGACGGCCCCCGTCACAGCTCAATTCACTGGTGAAAGCTCCTCTTTTTTTTTTCTTTAAATGTGAAAAGGAACATCCGCAGGGCCACCCTAAGTAATTAGGACACATCTGGGTTGCATTTTTTTCACGTGGAATAAAGAGCACTGCCAACTTAACAATCGCAGTAGTTAGTCTTTTCCTTTGACTACCGAACTTGGCAGTTTTTTTTAAATTTTCTAGAAGCATTTACGGTGAACGATGCTAGGACCAGACTCATCATACTCTTGTTTGGAGATCCACATCTGCTGGAAGGTGGACAGAGATGCCAAGATAGAACCTCCGATCCATACGGAGTATTTCCTTTCGGGTGGAGCTATGATCTTGATCTTCATTGTGCTAGGAGCGAGAGCTGTTATTTCCTTCTGCATACGGTCGGCAATACCTGGGTACATGGTGGTTCCGCCGGAAAGCACGGTGTTAGCATACAAGTCCTTACGGATATCGACGTCGCACTTCATGATTGAGTTGTAGGTAGTTTCGTGAATACCGCACGATTCCATACCCAAGAAAGATGGTTGGAATAGAGCCTCTGGGCAACGGAACCTTTCGTTTCCGATAGTGATGACCTGACCGTCAGGTAATTCGTAAGATTTCTCTAGAGATGACGACGATGCGGCGGTAGCCATTTCCTGTTCGAAGTCTAATGCTACATAGCACAATTTTTCTTTTATGTCTCTTACAATTTCTCTTTCGGCTGTAGGAAAGATTAAAAAAATATTTTAGAATATTTTGAAGGTTTTAGAGAGGGATCCGGGTAAAGGGGAAGGGAGGTTATTTTTACCTGTTGTGGTGAAAGAATAACCACGTTCAGTCAGGATTTTCATGAGGTAGTCTGTCAGATCACGTCCAGCCAAGTCCAAACGCAAGATGGCATGGGGAAGAGCGTAACCTTCGTAGATTGGTACAGTATGGGATACACCATCTCCAGAGTCTAGCACAATACCGGTTGTACGACCAGAAGCGTACAATGACAATACGGCTTGAATTGCTACATACATTGCTGGGGTATTAAATGTCTCAAACATTATCTGTAAAAAGTGAAAAAAGAAGTTAAATTTAAGAATTCCATTGAAACTTTGAAAATTATCCCTACGTGGAATGAAAAATGTTACCTGAGTCATTTTTTCACGGTTAGCCTTAGGATTAAGAGGAGCTTCGGTTAACAAAACTGGGTGTTCCTCGGGGGCTACACGCAATTCATTGTAGAAGGTATGATGCCAGATCTTCTCCATATCGTCCCAGTTAGTTACGATACCGTGTTCGATGGGATATTTCAGAGTCAAGATACCTCTTTTGCTTTGAGCTTCGTCTCCTACATAGCTATCTTTCTGTCCCATACCTACCATAACACCCTAGGGAAAGAAAAAAAGACATTTCAGTAACAATAAAAAAAGTTTTTTCCAAGACTGTAGAAAAAACAATTTTTTTTTTTTTACCTGATGTCTGGGCCTTCCAACAATTGATGGGAAAACTGCTCTAGGAGCATCATCTCCAGCAAAGCCGGCTTTGCACATACCGGATCCATTGTCTACGACAAGAGCAGCAACGTCGTCGTCACACATGTTGGTTTAGATTTTAGGAACCTAGTAAGAGAATTCTGAATTTGTAAACTACTCGTTTATATAAGATTAAAGCTTTACGGTAATTATAACGTTTTAAAATATAAAACGTCCTCTTTCTCGCCTACTAGTTAAACGCCTACTATAAAATTTAGCTGCCAAAAAAAGTAGACTTACAATAGAACAGATCGAGATATACTCCACAAGTCAAGCGTCTTCCACACACTGTGCCTCAAGCAGTGATAATTCTCCCTTTTATTTCACGTCTCGTGTGCCGGTCCGCAGAGCGGTGCGACATGACCATATATGGTATTCCTGTTCGGCCACCTTGTGAACGGAAGGAGTGTGAAAACAAATTCTATTGGCTCCTACCGGCAATTGTACGACCATATACGTCAGTGTTTCCGGGAACGGCGCCGGTCTCTGGCCAATCCCGTGACAGAAACCGTTTGTTGACCATATATGGAAGGAGCAACCATGTGGGACAACGGACCGGAATCAGTGAGTCGGAACTCCTCATTTTATCTTTTGGGGGTAGTTACATTAAACGAAATATTCAGTTTGTTAAAAATTTCTTATATATCCGTTAAGTAGATAACAAGAATTTTTTTTTTAATATTAAAAAATATTTAAGCAAAATAAAAAAAAAGGTCTGTATCGTCATCCCTTTAAAGTGGTTAAAATATTGCATTATGCAAACTACTTCCTCGATACCAAATATAGTCAAAAAATTCTATTATCATTTTTATAATCTTATATCTTCAAAATAATATCACCGTTAAAATTTTTTAAAAAAATAAGTAATTTCTGATGATATTTGCATAATTTTTATTATTATTTAATTGTTTGCATTGTTGCCTTAATAGTATATTCACCCGTAAAATAACAATTCAGTATATTGGTCACCTGACATTCCATAAATGACTATATATTCTAGTCAAAGTTTTTCTATATTACTGACGTCATCGTGACGAAAGTTCAATATTGCACACGTTTATCTGCTTCACCCTCCTTTACTGCTCTTTGTTAAGACGAGGGTCAAAGGGCGAATAATGGCAGTTGCTATGGTGGTTGGTTTATATTGTTGGAAATGTAAAACACTACTATCAACAATAAACGTTTCGAATTTTGAACGTAGAATCATGAAATTATATATTCTGTTATAAATAAAAGTGTTAGTTATAAAATATTAAATTGCTTATGTCATTGGTTATCTGAAAGTTGATCTGTTTCGAAATTCTTGCTTATCACCCCCTGTAAATTGATAACTATCGTGAATCATTTGCTATTTCTAGGGGGGTGTTCCGACCCTGAAAAAAAAGGATCGATATATTCTACTACTATAATAAAATATTCGATTTTTAACCTTTAATCGACAATCTAAATCAAGCTCCGTTATAAGAATACTACTACAAATTTCTATCACTCGTCTAGCATAACCGTTACCGAATCGTCTTTCCTGCAAGTGTTTATGCTTGGGTTTACGGATAACTCGTGTCCCTGAAAACATGGGTTTAACTATACTAACGTTCCCGTACAATGATTTAGTAGTACAGGGAAGTAGTATATAAGTTCGGTTGTATTTAAATCGACATTTTATAATTATTTTATAAAGTAATTATGTAAGGATAACGCTGTTTTATCAGTTTTTATTATCCGAGTTATACGGACGCTTAACAGGAGGTTGTAATAATGATATACAAGTTCCTGTTTGGTTAGGGGGATGCGTAGGCTCCAAAATTCTTCATTGGTAACATTACACTGTATTAATCAATAAACGTGCTCGATACATCGCCGGTTTTAGTAATGTTTATGCCTGGAAAATGCTTTAGTTTCGACAATCACTGGAAAGAAAGTAATGAAAGTGTAATATAATATGTCATTGGGAATTATTATTTATCTGTATTGCTTAACCAGGTGATTAAACTTGTCATCCGTTATAAAACAGTGTAGCTGGAATGCATCGTACCCATTCCAAGCTTGAGAATTCTATAATTTTCTCAAAAAATTTAATTAGATATATAAATTTGCATTAAAAATAAATTATCTCTAAGTATTAATTATGAGTGTAACCAGCCTGGAAAAAGAAGTTAAATTTAAGAATTCCATTGAAACTTTGAAAATTATCCCTACGTGGAATGAAAATGTTACCTGAGTCATTTTTTCACGGTTAGCCTTAGGATTAAGAGGAGCTTCGGTTAACAAAACTGGGTGTTCCTCGGGGGCTACACGCAATNTATTGCTTAACCAGGTGATTAAACTTGTCATCCGTTATAAAACAGTGTAGCTGGAATGCATCGTACCCATTCCAAGCTTGAGAATTCTATAATTTTCTCAAAAAATTTAATTAGATATATAAATTTGCATTAAAAATAAATTATCTCTAGAGTATTAATTATGAGTGTAACCAGCCTGTTTCATAATCATAACGAGCACAAGGCCTCATTTAAGCCCGAAGCAATAGGTCTCTCTCTTCAGATTATGAGTTCTACTTCCATATTTAGATATGAAATGTAAATATTTGTATCACATTCTTACGAGAGAAAGGTTAAGTTATGTATTAGTGAGTCATCAATGAACCTTCGATTTAGATACTGTTATGGTATTAAAATTTGAAGAATTGACCTATTCTACTGACCTGAAGACGTGTCAAGAGACAATATGTCCCAGTTAGGTATTAATATTTTTAAATAGGCTATCATAGTAAAGTCCTTTTCCCCGTTTCAAGGTTGTGAACATTTTTGATGAAAGTTGAATGGGATCACCTAAACTGTAACCGATTCCATTGTTAATTTATTGTTTGAGATTGACGCCCAGTTGTGAGGAATTTGGCCAACCCTCTATGAGTTAGAGATGCTAAAGATTGCTACAAAAAAAAGGAGGAGGAGAAATAGACTTTTAGGCGAATTATTTAAATTTTTTAAAAAATTGATCAGAATAAGGATATTTGTGTTAAGATGATTTCTGTTTATTTTTTTTTTAATTTTTAAAATATCAAAACGCCTTTATTTGCGATGTTACTCAGCTGAGAAATTTTATTCCCCTCGTTAACTATTCGACATAAATAAGTAAAAAGGTAAAACGTTAATATATTCAGCAAGTTAAAAATGCATAAAACCTACATAAGGATGGATTTCCGTCCCAGAAAAATTGCGTTTCAGGTGAACAACAACGATCAATCTTGCCGCCATTCAGCCTTAGGTTTGACCATCTGCCTTCAATGAACCGTGTCAACTAACAGATTCTTGAAGACAGGAAAGTCACTGTCCTTTGAAAGAATAAAAGACCAACCCTACAATATGCATTCTTATCCAGAATAACTTTAATAATACTCCTCTCCGCGATATATTCTCACCATCGATCTGGCATGTCTATGATTCATCATTTGGTATTAGTCATTAGACGATACCCATATCAAAATTTCGATAAGAATTGGTCATATTAAATCCACTTATTTCTGTACGACATTTTTACTTTTTTAAGGACAGATTTATAGAAATTGTATACTGCAGAATTTAGAAATATTCCAGACAGTGTTTTGTAGATAAAGAATATAGGAGTATGATTCATAACAGGAACGATTTAGCTCGGACCGACACTCATCACGGTCGATATGTAGGAAGGGTCATTGTTCGGCTCCTGCACAGACGTCTGCCTGTTTGCTTGAGAATTGCATTGTTACAGCCTTTGTAACCCAACAGTAGGTCAATGCCAGTTACCATTAAAACGAGTTTTGTCCATCTAATCGTATCTAGTTATATAAAAATCAAAACAGGCCATACACGCCATGTGCTGTGTTTTGTTGCTATAAATAATGATCGGTTTAACAAATGGATAATAGAGATGTAACGATCGAAGACGTCGATAACATACATCTCGAGTCACCTTGTTGGTGAGAAGCTGAAATATTGAGAAAATGCGTCTTTCTTCCCGTCTTTTGTTTGCCCTTCTCCATCTTCCGCATCGACTAATTAAAAATCGTGATCGCCGGCATTATTAATCTCTCTCAAAGAATGATAGATGATGCTAAAAATATTCTCTCTTTTTATTATTATTATTATTATTATTATTATTATTATTATTCGATTGGTTTTCTGTAAATCGATCGACAAACCCGACATAAAAATAGTCTGACGCTGTAAGGTGGCCGACGGACGTCGAGGCGATCTAGATGGTAGGTGGCGTCATTCATGTCTGGATCGTTATTCAAGTCGGTGACGTCATCTTGGGATATTCCTCTCCTCTAGTGGTTTTCACAAACATCACCGCTTAACCGGTCGTTCGTCTGTTAACAATTTTATTATCGTAACAAGTGTCAGAAATAAAGATTTGAATAAACAAAGTTGATATGTTTTTCGATAAAATGAAATAATATCTATAATTTTTTAAAAAAATCTATTCGATTTAAATTGGGTAATTTCTCTTATCCTCGTTACAAATTTGTACTAGACACGCGATACGAGAATCACTAAACGATATTTTAAAATTTTCACGTTTACATAACGTTTCTCTCACGTCTTAAAATTAAAATTTTAAACAATAATAATCAAAAATTATTCAAGTGAAAACTCCTTCCGCGAAATGTAATACTCATGACGTCACTGCCGAATTTGTTCTCACTTGCCACTTTAACTCATCAAGCGATGATTAATAAGATCGTATTAATCAAATTTTCATATTATTATATTAGTATTATCGCTTATCGATCGAATATTGATCGATAAAACTTGATAAGCCAAACCCACATTTAAAAAAAAAAAAAAAAAAAATGGAATGGGCAAGTGCGCTTTCTTTACCAGAATTAATTAATGAAGAAGGGCAGATAAATAGATAAATGGGACAGATACCTTATTAGGATCTCTCTATTATCCCATCTATTATCTTATTATCCACTTTAATTAAATTTGATTCACGAATTAAATGTTATTAAGAGGAAGAGATTCCTTGTTCGGGTTTTTCCTCGTTGACATATTAATATACGCTTAATTAAATTTGGATACTCTTGTTAGAAAAAAAAAATAGTAATAATAAAAATTAAGTTATGCCTTAATATGGAATTGTAACGCTGTAAGAATTGAGGAATTTTGCTTGTTATCGATGACATGCAAAATTTTTTAAAATTGTATGTTAACTGCAGTAAAATGGTATGCTAAAACTCATAAAGACTAACAATTGCTGGTTTAGAGAGGGTACTTAATCTGGTTTGTTTTTTTTCTTTTTTTTTTAAATTCTTTTTGCAATTTTCATGTTTTATTAGTTTTTTAAAATAAGGAAGTTTGGGACTGACCCGTATTATTTTGATGATAGGATTTGTTGAATATCACCTTATTCTCAATGCGTATAAACCTTGTTAAATGTAGCATAAACTACAAGTTTTGCTACTTGTCACACCGCGACCCCCTAAAATAAAATTAATAAAAATTTATAATGTCTACCGTTAACGTGTAGATTTTATTAATTTCTATTTAAATCGATAAATGTACGAATTCGGCTTGTAACTATTAGTTTTATATTATATGTAATTATGAATCATTTTTTTTAAATTAATTACATTGCAGAATTTAATATTATAAGAGTGAATGAGAAATAGTTTGTCATGCAGTATAATTTGATTTTTATATATAATTAAAATTATTGGAATTGACAGGAGTGAAAAATATATTTTATAAATAATATTTAATAAAAATTATTTTTAAAATATGTTTAAAGTGATTGGAAATCGGAATTTTGTTCGCGTACGATGACGAAACATCCTTTTATTAGTTGCGAATTCTGTTGGTTTTGTGCCAGGATCCCTTTCCGGAAATTTTGGTTTGTGGAAATGAAAGGAACTAACTGGTATATAATCAGTTTGTAAATTTAATTTAGTTTAATAATAAAATTTTTTTTAATGTTAATAATTGTGAATGAAGTAATTTGAACTCTACTAATTTAAATCTGTTCTGAAATTTATAATTGCATAAAATATGAGATTTTATGCATTTACAAATAACAAATACATGTAATGTAGACTAATTATGATGAATTCACTTGTTTAGACTCTTCTGTTTTCTGATAAAGCATTTTTTAAATGTACTTTATTTTAAATGCCCTAATACATTTTGTTGCATGTTAACAATTTCTTGTCTGCACGATGTTGACCTTTTTTTTAGAAATGCTGATCAAAATTCTATACATTTATTTAGCAATAATGATAGTGTTAAGCTAATTTATTACTAATTTTTGTTTTGTAATTACCTTTAGTTCTCCAAATAAAACTGATTTCTAACTGATATAAATTTAAACTTGGCATAACTATATTTACCTTCATAAATGAACACGTTTATTTATTTTATTTCCTCAAAGTCTTACATATTTAGAGAAATACACCAACTTCATTCATTCGTTTGGCGTTCAATGGTAGAACTGTACTCAGCAATGCAGTTAGTGCAGGGCTTATGACCTCTAGGGAAGTTGTAACTTGGCGTGTGTAAGTTCATTGGAGCTCAGAGTCGACAGAAAAAGAGGCGTATATTCCATTGAGATAATATATTGATTATTTTATATTGTTCGAATCTATTCGAGACCTATTTCGCATGATAATTATGTAAAAAAAAAACACTACATATATTTAATTGAAGGGTTGTTAATCAACCTGTTACCTACGCGTTGAAAGCTATTTTATATATTTAGTACTTTATTTTTTAAAATAATTAAAATAAAAAAAACAAATATACATTAATTAGTAATAAAATATTATAAATTGCATTTATGTGATATATAAATCTATTAATACAAAATTAATATATATATTTAAATTATTATTCTGTTATGTGACTATCTTTCCCGACAGATTTACTGTAGAATCTTTTTTTATGGTGCAAGGAAACAGGAAATTTAAGGGAAGCAGGAGTGGTTATTAATTACGCATAATTATTTTTTTACTAAAATCTTAAAAAGGAAATAAAGGATAACTTAGACAAAAACCTACTAAATTTATTTATAATAATATTTAGAAGAGAATATTTACATAATAGTCATTATTTTTAAAGTAAATTAAAAATCGAGAGCAATTCCCTTTCATATAAATAGTTGGAATATTTTGTAATTAATTAATTCGTGCTATTAAGTTATTTTCTTGTGACATATAATAATTTTATACGATTTGTTACTCTTGTGAATCCAACAAAAAAATATCACATTATTTCCTGCAGTCTGGTTATTGTCTGGTTGAACTTTTTCCTTTATTTTATTCATGTTTCTTTCATTTACGGTTAGATGGAGCCAAATTTAGAATAAAATTTTAAGGATATAAACTTGACAGTATCTATATTTAAATTCAGCGGAACATAATTTATATTGTACGCTTATGGCCTTTTGTACTATAACAGTCATTGAGAAAATTTTGCTGCAGTCCCCAGATTTTTAGAGGCCCCGTGAAGAATGCAGTTTATAGACTCATATTTTATGTTTTGTTTTGAATAGATATTCTAGAAGGAATGCGTATCCAGTAATTGTAAGAGGCCCTCATATAGATAATCCACAAGTTTATTGCTGGACCACCTATATTTTATTTCTTTATCAACACTTCTATAAGGAAAGGTTTAAAATTACATGGATTTAGAAGATTAGCTCAATATCTCAAATAAAAATTATGTTTTAATAAAAAATAAAATGCATTAGTTATATATTTTGTGTGAAAGTATTGGCGCAAAGTTAGATCTATTGTATCGAAAATATTTTATGCATAACTTTCCGCAATTTTTTTTTCTGTTAGATAATTATATGTAATTATTCAAGCACGAATAAACTGAAGAGTTAAAAATCACAATCAAGTTCAAGATATTTCCGAATCATCGAGTTAATCTTGAAAACTTGTTTCATTAGGAACCATTCTAATCGGCCTACGAAAAAACTTAAAAATGGGGTCAAGTTTCAAATCTCTTTTACGTTATCTTAATTGTTGTTTTGTTGGTGATTTTTGTATTTTTGGCTTAAATTGTTTCTAAATGTAGAATGATTTTGTTGTTGTTGACCGAAATTAACCGGTCAAAGTTTTTCTTTGCAACTGTGAAACTTACTACAAAGCTATCTAGACAATGTCAATCAACCTCCTGTACTTGTTTGGAACCGAAACGTAAGATTAGTATCTCACTGACAATTTTCGCTAAAAAAACCTTGAAGGGAATTTATTATTTTTTTTAAACAAACGTTCGGATAATTATCATAATAACAATGAAGGTATAATGAATGAGCCATGTTCTATTATGTATATAACATATTGATTTGAATATTTGAGATCAAAAATAGGTCTCGTTAATATTGCATAAAAGCTGCTATCCCACTTTATAGTCTTTTATTCTTCTATATATGTATAGTTTTTCTTAAAATCACGTTCAAACAATATTTTATTCACTTGAATGCATTTTAAGGTCAGCAAATGTATTGAAAGAGTGCGATGAATCGTGATGAAGGATTAATAAAAAGATATATATGAAAAATAAAACGAAGCAATATTGATCAATTAAAATCGATAAAAATAGCATAGTTTTAAATATTTTCCGAAGTCGCTTCATTTACAAGTTTTGAATATAAGAATAAAAATGGTTTATTGTAAGTGTTATTATTTGCGTGTTTTAAGGGCGGTATATTATATTATTGTATTCAAAATAATGATGCTGCTTGTTCCAAATTTAAATATAAAAATTTAAGAAACTCTATTATGAATATATTTTTATAAAAAAAAAAAAAAAACATTATTTGTCCTTGCTTTAATGATATCAACGTTCTCTGAGAAAGAATCGCATTTTTATCTTTAGATAAGTGACATTCAACTATGTTCTCCGGTTCCCCCCTGTTTCGTATCTTCGTCACTCATCAATCGCGTCACGTGATTAGCATTTTATTTTATTTTCTAACAAACTGTTTCTTTTCAGTATAAAAATATTTTTAAAATAGTTTAATACATTTTTAATAACGCGACGTTACGACAATTTATCTTAAATTTTCATAATATGACTCCATTATATTAAAATCGTTTGGGGGCGCTTGTATATTTAGGAATGTCGATATTGTTTTGAAAGTAGCTAAACGCGATGATTTGTTTTTAGAATTTTGAATGACAAAAATATTTATTAAAGATATTTAAAAGAAAAAATGCGATAAGTTGTTTATAAATAATCTTAAAATGAGATTGTCTGGATTTAAATTTAGTTTTATATTAGATATGGGATGCGGTTGTGGAAAACAAATGATTGATGTCAATGGGAAAAAATATACTATGAAAACTAAAATTGGCGAAGGGTAAGGTTTATAAATAAATGTTGTAATTAGAATTTTATCGATTTAACGTCACACTATATCGATTATTTGTGTTTCAGGGGCTTCAGTACAGTTTACTTAGTTTATGGACCAAATAGACAATATTATGCTGTCAAGTGCATCATTTGTCATAGTAAAGAAGATGAAAGGATTTCTATGCAAGAAGTCGAATATTATCGAGCTTTGAAACATCCAAATCTCGTGGAATGTCTTGATGCTGCCCTTGTAGGTTCTTGTGTAGGAGCGAGAAGTGCTAGTGAAGTGCGCATTCTCTTACCTTATTACAAGGTATATTATAATAATGACACCAGTACAATTATTTGGAATATATATATATATAACTGCATTTAAAAAAATTTACATTATTATGCTAACATTTTCATTTGGGAAATGATTACTAAAATCTAAAATCTTTCAAATGATATATTTGTCACCATGAAATCTTTAGTGTTTAGGTGTCAAAGTTTCGATATCACTCAATAACAAATAGTTTGTATTAATAAAATTTTATATTTACTTATTTATAAAATTAATCAAGAAAACTTTTGAATTTGAAATATCCAAAATTGTTGTGTGTTTAAATTTTAAAGTATAAATAATTCAAATACAGAATTCATATTTTTAACTAAAACTAATAAATTTACATGTAGTCAAACATATTATCATTCATATTACTTATTTGACCTACAGAATCATAATCAAAAAATCTTAACCTGATTTAATTTGGAATAGTCCTTGACTTAAATGATGAAATTTTGAAAAAGACATTAATTATGATTTAAATAATGACCTTGAAAATATATTTTCCTAATGAAAAGTTATGACATATATACTATTTAAAATCTACCAAAATAGGATGGGATAAAGTGAAAACTGATAAACTTGCTTTGTCTCATTAAATTACAACATGGGAAATTATTATGTAATTTGTAAAACTGAAATATTTGAAATAATGGAAATTTTCTATTTTAGGACTAAAAATTTAGAAATACAGCTATAATTCTGTTTCACATTATAATTCATCTTATGTATACTGATAATTTCAGGATTTTAGGATTTCATAACATTATTTATTTATGAAAGATATTTCTATCAATTTATCAGTCTTTTCAAGAAAAGTAAAAAACTTAGCAAGAAGTAGGTTTTATTTTATGAAAAAAATTCAGGAGAGAATATGAAACATGAACTAACATCTTTTACTCAGTGAAATAAAATAGTTTTTATTAACTATAGTATATCTTTGCTATCATTTTAATTCAATATAATATGTTTCTGCATCAAAATACATAGGTCTAAAGTAAATGTTAAGGACAATGAAATTCTAAGTTTAAATAGAATGATTAGTTTACACAGTCAGTCAATACTACGAGTTATATAAAAATTAAGACTAATATAAATGTAATTCTCTTAACATTTAACATATTGAAACAAAAATGCAAATATTATTAAAGAATCAAAAGAAAAATACTAAGTTATTATAAATGTTGCATTTTAAGTCTGTTTCTGTTTTGATATTAATGTATGTAGAGAAGACAGTTATGTTTTGTATTTATTATTATTATTTTTTTTAAATATAAAATTCCTTGAAAAAATTTTAGTAAATATATCTACAAATTATTACATTATATACTACTGTGCTATATCAAATAGCATATTCATTTTACAATTGGTATTAAATTTTATTTTTAACAAATTATTTTGTGATATTAAACATATGGGATTTTTCCTAGCATAATAAAATGTGAATATAAGGAACACACTCAATTAAGAGAAATGTAGGGATTATAACAAAGCAGTCTGTTTCATGTTAGAAGTAAAACCTTTGGGATCTACCAGTGGCCAAGTGGTTCTGTTCCCTGAACACTGGTAGTTTGGTCATATGTTCATGCCTTGCCAGGACAGGCTGGCCATGTAGAGTTTTCTGGGTTTTCTCCACATCTTGTTATCCTAAATAGGGGCCACTTACCCTTAAAAGACCTCCCAGAAGGCATCCTCATAGGCAGATTGCCCAAGTGTTGCATTGCCATAACTAACAAAACAAACAAACAAAAGAGATCCTTTGTGACCAGAAGTAAAATCTTTTGTATCTAATTTATAATTCAAAATTTAAAAAATACAGGTATTTAATACTTAAGTATAGCTTAAACATTTTTGAAAACAAACTTTTTAGAAAGATGTTTTACTGCATTAACTATACTTATCCCATGCATTGTTTTTGGGATATCTTATTCCAAAATATTTTCAAATATATTTATTTATTTTAGTTTAATATATAGATATTGTTATATTTGTAAAATCTTATCTAGAAGAGACAAGATACATGAGTATCTCAATATTATGCGTGGTTTTACTTTACATAGTTTTGCTATAATGCAACTTTAAATAATTATAATATATATAATGCCAGGGGTTGAGCCATCCTCACCATATACGTGGTACAATCCAAAAGTTCAGGGACTGCAGTAATGTATGACAACAAAAGCATGTATTTAAAGTTACAGCGTATGAAATGGATTCTATCAAACCACCCCTACATGTTCAGGTTGATTTTGCCCATGTCACATGATTAAACAGCGAGTGCTGTTGTTTTTTTTCGGAGATAGTTACTTTTGTTTGGCGACGTAATAAAAATGGAGTTTCAAGAACAGCGCTGCATCATTAAATTTTGTCAGCGTTTAGGTAAAAAATTTATGAAGACTTTAAAATTGCTAAGAAAGGTGTATGGTGATTCTATCATGGTGAAATCAAAGGTTTAAAGAGGGCCGAGAATCTATCGCAGATGATGAACGCTCTGGCCGACCTTCGACTTCATGGAACGAGGAAAATGTTGAGTTGGTCTCTCAATTATCTAGACATTTTATGTCGTTTGAGGGAATCCATTCGTCATAAACGGCCGCAGATCTGGTGAAGTGGAGAATGGTACTTTCTGCATGACAATGGACCTGCAAATCGGTCCCAAATGGTCACACAGTTTCTCGCCAAATCTCAAATTAATGTGCTTCCACACCCTGCCTATTCACCGGACTTAGCTCCATGTGATTTTTATTTGTTTCCATCAATGAAAAAGCATTTGCAGGGATGCTGTTTTGTGTCATCAGATGAGGTGAGAGCAGCATCGCAGGAGGCCTTACGGGAGGTTTCAAAAAATGGCTTCCAGCAGTGCTTCCAGAAGTTATACAAGCGCTGGCAAAAGTGTATCATTGCCCAAGGTGATTATTTTGAAGGTGGTTGTGCATCGGTAATATAAACTTTTTAAGGTAAGGAATTTTAAGCCAAGTCCCTGAACTTTTGGATCGTACTACGTACATCATTATAATGGTGGGAGTGGCCCACAACAACTACAACACATTTACACACACATTTGAAATATTATTTACAAATATGATTACTGATTAAATTATATATATACATATATTTTTTTTGAGATTTGAATGGGGTTACTCCCTAAAATATCATTAAAATGCATTGTCATTGGACTTAGAAAGCTGAAACTTTGAGGACACCTACCTTAATTAAAAGTGGATGCTATTTGAGTTGCAAGATTTGAAGTTAAATAAAACAAGTTAAATAAAAGTGTTTAAAAAAATAAAATAGACACTGAATTAAATTCCTGTATGTTTATATTTATGAAACAATTATAGTGTGTGTTTTTATAATCAAATCAGCATATGTCAGCCAATATACAGCTGTAGAATCTAAATATCACAAATGGCATTTTGTCATCCAAAATTTTTTAAATTATAGTAGATTCCAACTGTTTTACTTTAACAAAGTTGAAAATCATTGTCAATCAATCCAGAACCTTCAAGTAAGTGAGGGAAGAATGATTCAATCTCAATTCCTGTGTCAGCTGATTCAAAATTCTAATAAATCATTAGTTAAACTTGTAATAATTTGATGGTCAGATTGTCAAGGTTGGAATAGCACCACTCTGGAGGACACAGGTTTTAGCCCGACAGACAGAAATTTTTATGAGGTGGATTGACCTGGATATGTCTGGCCCATCCCTAGCTGATGTATATATTATCAAAACACTGTTAATGTTTACAGAGCAGATAAAAAAAGAATACAAATTAGAATAAATAAATAAATAAACACTCATTTTTGAATGTTAGTTATTTTTCATTTTGGAATGTGTTGCTATTTTTATAAAGACACTGAAAACACCTTATGTACTTTTCCAGCAATTAATAATAAATAGCAAATAATTTTTAATATTTGCTATTTTTCCTATGTAAAGGTTAACTTGCTTTATGTAATGCTATCTTGAAACTAATTGCAAAATGTGAGGAAGTCCTGAATTCGTAATGCTTTAAACTCTAAAATGTAATAAATGTGGAATGAATATTGTTTTTAATAAGATATATAATTTATTTTGTATTTTTAATATTTAGTCCTATGGAAGATTTAGATTTAATTTCATATTACATAATTTTTCCTATGAAGAGCTAACTATAGTAAAAAATAATTGTAATATTAAATAGTAGTTTTTAATTAATATATCATTATTTATCAATATTTAATTATTAGATAAATATTTTATAATAATTAAGAATCAGTAAAATGCATAATATTTTTTAATCACAATATTGAAAACAAAATATGTGGATATGTTTTTTTTTAATTTTTCATTTATGATATTCAGATTTTGCATAAATTAAAATTCATCAGTCAGTAAGAAAGGATATCTTCTATTCAGTTTTTAAATAAATATAATTATACTAATAGAAAAATTAGTATTAAAATTTAGAATATGAGTTTATTCAAAATTATTTTATAAAATCTCATAATTTTTAAATATTTAACATATTGATAAATTGTTTAATTTTAATAAAATATTTAAAATTAAAAAAAAATTTATTAATTTCAAATATCTTTATGAATTTTAAATATTACTTCTTGCATTTGTACTAGATTAAATAAAGTATTTATATATGATATGTTTTTCATTGGTGATTTATATGATTGATTAATTTATAAAGTTTTGAGATTTAATTAATAAAAAAATTTTATATTATATAATGTTATGAATTTTGTTTGTTTTTAATATTTCATATATAAAATAAAGAATTAACTGTAGTTAATAAAGACAGCTATATGATATTTTATTAGTTATAAAAAATTTTATTTTTTTAACATCATAATTTCTGTATTTTTGGTTGTTAACCTCTAATAAATTAATGCAAATATTAAAGATTTTGCAGATGTTTATTAGTAGAAATTGAACTTTACATAAAATGAATTGACTTAGTGGTAAATAATTTGTTAAATTTGTGACTACATTAATT